CAGCTACTGTTGGACAGGAAATCCGCATTCCAAAATGCCCACCAAACCGTTTTTCAGCGGGATTTTTAACCCGCGGATGGCGAGAAATGCAGAGGGCTCAAAGCGGAAGTCCTCAGTAGGTTCGGCCTAGGCCAGAGAAGTCTCAAAGTGCTGTATGGGAAAACTTTACATGTTCAAAGGTAATTTCTCTAGAAAAAAGCCATAACCCTAACAGCTTAGGCGTGACGGACAAAAGTCCACATCGATTAGCACGTGCAGGCCTTTTCATTCAATCCCATGAGACGGATAGCCCCCGTATGCCGGATTTATAAAGGCCGAATTGAGATTCCTTTATGTTAATGCTCAAATTCTCGTTTCAGAAATCGACAAGACCAACGCACTGGTTCCAGAAAGAAACCCTGATGTCGTTACCATAACAGGAACACAGGTCAAAGCCTAAGATACGGATACCGAGATTTCGATTCAACGATAACAACTCTTTCGCAGAGACCGCCAAAATGGGCAGGCCCGTGAGGTAGCCGTATATTTAAGGACGGAAATGTCGGCAGCTGAAGGAGCTCACACACTCTATTGAATATGAACCCGTCTCGGCAAAGATAAAGAGGAGTAACGCAAAAAACATAAAATTCCTGACAGTTTCTAGACCACCAAAGCTTCCGGGTGCATCTGACGATTCGTTCCTCCACTTGCTAAAGGAAGTAGCTAGCCACCAAGAGGTTCTTATTGGTAGGGATTTCAACGCACCTACAAAAGAGTGGGAAAGTATGGCAGGTGACGGTGCTCCAACTTTCTCCAGCCACAAGCTAATGGATCGCACGCTCAGCTTCCCCGTGGCATACTACGTAAAGACACCAACGAAATTTAGAGAGAACCAGAGAGCCTATTGATTGGACTTAGTTTTTACAGAAGGCTTCTTCAGCATTGACAAAGTGTATTCCAGTGCACATCTCGGCAACATTGATCATACTAAGCTACTGTGTAATTACTCGCTCTTCTCTCAGTGTTAGAAGAGAACAGACGGCCAACCTAATATATGGAAGCCAGATTCTAGCGTAATGGAGAATGAGTTGAAGTCCGTGAATTAGGACTGCTTGCTCAGATCGGAACCAGCGGATGACTGGAAATTATTAAAGACGACTTCACCAAGCCCGATTTGGCGCTTGTCGTCTAGTGACAGTTCGACCATCGGTTTCGATGATGTCCACCGTGTGCCCCACAGTTGCAGCAGCAATGGGAGCAGGGACGGTGACTTACGCAGGGGTTTATAGTGCCGGTAGACTTGCGTAGCATCTACCTACACTCTCTCCTCCTCCCCCCCTGGACCCGGTGTCAAGACAGAGTCAAGAAGACCGGAGACGAGGGAGGCCGCAGGTGGATGGCTCGGACGGATCCTCACCTTGGCGTTCCACCACACCCCCTGGTCCACACAGCAATAACCAGGATTTCAACCAACACAACAGAGATTTGGAGGCTGGCACGGCCGAAGCCGCACCTGGGCGTGCCGCCAACGCCTGGCTCGGATCCCACACTGTGGTGGGAATGCCATAAAGGCCACATTAAAAAGGAGCCATTGCAGCCTGACTCTCAGACCGCCTCCAGTGAAGGAGGAGGTCCAAGGTACCCCGTCAGTTGGCAACTTTCCAAGCCACGGCTTTTAGCGCACCGTGATAGCTTCAAGCGCGTCAGATTGTTTATAGTGAGGAGAAAGTGCGCTGAGTCGTCGACCTCACTCTCCCTTCCCATCCCCACACCCCAGCCGCTGTCCGAGCCGGTCAGAAGACTGGAGTGGGGAATGGGCGCGGTGGCTGACATGGTCGACTGACCATGTCTGCGCGCGCCACAGCAGGACCTGGCCCCCCATACACACAAACACCAGGATTTCACACAACGGGGGTTGAACGGCGTGTCTCTCACTTGCGTGAGAGGGCCGTGAAAGGTGCTGTTTCAGCTAGTCCCCAGCCCACCAGTCCGCCACTACACACAACACACACACACACAACGCGACGAACTGCGTGAACCGAGAGCGGGCCTCAATCAGCAACCTTCCTATCCACGACGCTTGACGTGTAGGGATAGCCTCGGACTCAAGTCACCCGTGCAGCCGAAGCCGCATGGGGACCGAGTCGAGATGCACACTTCCCACTTGCGTGGGAGGTGGCAGTTGGGTGCATGAGGTGTGTGAGTGTTGATTTCTGGTGGGGTGATGGTGGTGGTGGAGGAGGTAGGGAGTGAGTGAATGTGTGGTGTGGCCGGCGGTTGTCTACCGCAGGTCGTCGTGGATGCGCATGTGGCCGAATAGGCTCATGCGATACCTGAAAGTGCGAGGACAGTGTGGGCAGTTGAGACGAGCTTGATGGGTATAGGTGGGTGCTCCAGGCACTGGTTCGCCAGTCTCTGTGCGATGGATTCGCAAGTGACCGACCAGGCCGATGCGTGAGGTGAATGTGCGTGGACAGTGTGGGCATGAGAAGTCGGCGGTGTCAGTGTCAGCTACAGAGGAGGCGGTGGTGGTGGTGGTGGTGGTGGTGGTGTCGCGGACGGATGGAACGAGAGTGGGGGTGTGCACGGTGGATGTGTTGGATGTAGTGGGTGTGTCGGGAGTGCGGTCAAGGCCGCTCTCGTGGATGCGCATGTGGCCGAAAAGGCCCATGCGATGCGTGAAGGTGCGAGGGCAGTGTGGGCAGTGGAGGCGAGTGCGGTGGGTGTAGGTTAGTGCTCCAGGCACTGGTTCGCCAGGCTCTGTGCGATGGATTCGCAAGTGACCGACCAGGCCGATGTGTGAGGTGAAAGTACGGTCGCAGTGAGGGCAGGTGTAGTCCTGATCCTCATCCCTGGAGTCGGGGAAGGTGGTGGTAGTGTCGGTTGCTGTGCGTGGGACAGTCGTCTGAGCGGCCGCCGTTGGAGCAGTGGGCGAGGAGGAGGAGGAGGAGGATGAGGAGGAGGAGGATGATGGAAGTGGTGGGTTAGTTGGCGGCGGAGAGGAGGAGGGAGAGGCAGGCGGGGGGATGATGGTTGGTGTCGTTCGAGAGGCGCAGTTAATCCGAAGATGTCCAACAAGTCCGATTCGAGCGCGGAATGTCCGGTGACATCGAGGACACGTTGGAAGCGGTTGTGCGGCGGCGTTGCTTACTGGGCGAAGTTGTGATTTGCGGGCTTCACGTTTCGCTTTGGCGGCAGCGATGCGGTTGGCTTCGTAGATCGCAGCGCCTGTCTTCACTGTCCTCCTCCAGGTCGGTCGATCGAGTGCGAGCTCCTCCCAGTTGGTGGGGTTGATTTGCAGGCATTTCAGGGAGGACTTCAGGGTATCCTTGTATCGACGAATTGGGCCTCCTTGACGGCGAGAACCCGTCGCGACGTCTCCGTAGAAGAGTCGTTTGGGTAGTCGCTCGTCGTCCATGCGCACCAGGTGGCCGCTCCAGCGCAGCTGAATTTGCCTCAGTATGGCGTAGATGCTGAGGATTCCCGTCCGTTCCAGCACATCAGTGTCGGGGATTCGATCCTGCCACTTCAGCCTCAGGATGCGACGAAGACAACTGAGGTGGAAGTGGTTCAGACGACGTGCCTGCTTTGCGTACACCGTCCAAGTCTCCGCTCCATACAGTAGCGTCGGCAGGATGACGGCCTTGTACATCTTCAGCTTCGTGCTCAGTTGGAGACCATGACGATTCCAAACTGTGCTTTGGAGGCGACCGAAGGCTTGACTGGCTTTCGAGATCCTGTTGGCGACTTCGTCGTCGATCTTGGTGTTGCGGGAGAGAGTACTGCCCAGGTACGGGAAGTTCTCCACCACTTGCAGGTGGGTCCCATTCACGCTGATTTGCGGCGGCGCGTTGGGGGCTGTGGCCGAGTTGGGTGGCGGTTGGTGCATCACCACCGTCTTCTGTGTGTTGATGACCAGACCGAAGTTCTCGCAGGCGGCGGAGAACAGGTCCATGCTCCGTTGCATCTCCTCTTCCGAGGTGGTGTTCAGGGCGCAGTCGTCGGCGAAGAGGAGTTCGTGCACGGTGGTTGTGGATACGCGCGATTTGAAGTGCATCCGCCGTTGATTCAGGAGGTGACCGTCCGTCCTGTAGGCGATGCGGATCCCGGGGCGTTCGTCGCGGTAGGCGTCCATCAGCATGGCAGAGAACATAAGACTGAAGAGGGTAGGCGCCAGTACGCAGCCCTGCTTCACTCCATTGGTCACTGCGAATGCCTCTGAGACAGCTCCGTTGTCCGTGACTCGCGCCATCATACCGTCGTGCAGCTGACGCACCATCTGAGTGAATCGCTCCGGACAGCCGAATTTCTGCATGATCTTCCACAGTCCTTCACGATTCACCGTGTCGAAGGCTTTCGTCAGGTCCACGAAGGTAGAGTACAGGTGGGTCCGCATCTCCTGACACTTCTCCTGAAGTTGACGGGCGGCGAAGATCATATCCGTGGTCCCACGATGAC